GAAGGATGATTTGTAGGAAGAGATTTCTCTTGAATTCCAAGTGCTTTTTCGAAAAATGAAAGTGCTTTTGAGTACTCTCCCATGTTATGATACACCAAACCAATGTTGTTGTAGGAAGTAGCCAACGAAGGATGATTTTCAGGAAGAGATTTTTCATCGATTCCAAGTGCTTTTTCGTAAAATGAAAGTGCTTTTGAGTACTCTCCCATGTTACGATACACACCACCAATGTTGTTGTACGATTGAGCAAAATCAGGATGATTTGCAGTAAGAGTTTTTTCTCGAATTCCAAGTGCTTTCTCATGAAATGAAAGTGCTTTTGAGTACTCTCCCATGTTATGATACACACCACCAATGTTGTTGTATGAAGTAGCCAACGAAGGATGATTTTCAGGAAGAGATTTTTCATGGATTCCAAGTGCTTTTTCGAAAAATGAAAGTGCTTTAGAGTACTCTCCCATACTCTGATACACCAAACCAATGTTGTTGTACAGTTGAGCAAAATCAGGATGATTTGCAGTAAGAGTGTTTTCTTTAATTCTAAGTGCTTTCTTATGAAATGAAAGGGCTTTCAAATATTCTCCCATGTTATCATACACCAAACCAATGTTGCTGTATGAAGTAGCCAATTCAGGATGATTTGGAGGCAGAGGTTCGCCCGAGATTCCAAGTGTTTTCGCGTAAAATGAAAGTGCTTTAGAGTACTCTCCTATTTTTATATACACATCACAGATGTTGTTGCAGGAAATAGTTAACGTAGGGTGATTTGCAGGAAGAGATTTTTTCCAGATTTCAAGTGCTTTTTCGTAAAATGAAAGTGTTTTCGAATACTCTCCCATGTTATTATACACCAAACCGATGTTGTTGTAGGAAGTAGCCAACGAAGGATGATTTGAAGGAAGAGTTTTTTCTCGAATTCCAAGTGCTTTTTCGTAAAATGGAAGTGTTTTCGAATACTCTCCCATGTTATCATACACCAAACCGATGTTGTTGTAGGAAGTAGCCAAATCAGGATGATTTGAAGGAAGAGATTTTTGTTGAATGTCAAGTGCTTTTTCGTAAAATGGAAGTGATTTCAAGTATTCTCCCATGTGGTAGTATAGGCTACCAATGTTGTTGTTGGTAGTGGCTAACGAAGGACGATTTGCAGGAAAAGTTTTCTCTTCAATTCCTAGTGCTTGCTCGTAAAATGAAAGTGCTCTCGAATAGTCTCCCATTTGTCTATACGCCCCACCAATGTTGTTGTACGAAATAGTCAACGACGGACTATTTTCAGGAAAATGTTTGTGTCGAATTTTAAGTGCTTTTGTGTAATATTCGATAGCTTGTTCATAATTACCTTGATGATGTTTGACATATCCAAGACAATGATAGTAAAAAGCTTCGTCAGTCTCTTTCGATGGTTGTTCAAGTAGTATTTTATATAGTTCTTCAGCCTTATCGAAATGACCTGTTTTGGTTAATAGCACACCCAATCGTCCCCAACCTGTTGCAGCCGCAATTTCTTTGCTTATAAATTCAGTCAGCTCTCGAAGTTGTTCATCATCATCAGCAGTTAGTTGAAGTTCTACTTGATAAAGTTGATCATTATTATCCATATTTTTAATTGCACCTATCCGAAATACGGTGTGCATGGAGAAGAGAATTTCTTCTTCCGTATTGTAATAACTAACTTCCTGAATAGAGGCGAATGATGTGGATGAGACGCGTGGATCAATACTCATTATAAAAAGTATTCCAACCATGTCAGGATTTCCCGAGGCACTCTCGGCGTACAGGAAAGAAACGTGTTGATTATTACTAGTAGATAAAAAGTTGTTAAAGGACATGAGACCACCTTTTGTTTTGTTGAGTTTTTCGAAATCACTTTTCAGCAAACCTTGTCCTCGGTAAACTATAAAAGGCTTATCACCATAACTTGTAAGCTGTTGTTGATGTAATTGATAAATTTGTTGATGAAGATCGTGTATAAAGAATCCCATATTAATAATTACATCGGCATCTAATGTTCGAAGTGCTCGATTGAGTATTTCATAAGTAAAACACTCACGTGTATACCACCATACTGCCTGTTTCGGATCATAATCATGTTGGAATACATCGATAATGTCTAACTGAGCCTTATTATCATGAAAAAGTTTGCGGTAGTACACCGCTAAGGGCTTCATAGCTTGTTTTTGATTATGTTCCATTTCAAGGAGAATATCCTTAAATATTTGTGTGTACATGTAATTGGGCTCCAGTTGATTCAAGTTTTCGCTGGACACCACTTCATTCGGCGTGACGAAGCTTATAGATATTGAATCTTGATTGGCTTGTCTGACACCTGCCTTTAATGCATCGCAAATGTCCTGGATATTATTATGAACACCCTTGACCTTTTTCCAATCCTTAGTCCATTGTTGACAACAAGATATGTTGTCATAAA